CCCCTATCCTGTCCTTATAAGTAGGATGGGGGTGGGGTGGGGTCGCCCTTTGCTTCCCAAGTCCCACAGATTCCCCAAAACTGCCCTCTGAGACTGATTTCCTGATGTAGCGACTTGACCTCCTCTGCCGGGGATTATTTAGTTGTGAGAGCTTCCCTGAGAGACTTCCACGCCAATGACACTAACTGAGCGTCAAGGACCCACCAACAAGCCCTCTGTTCTTCTCAGCATTACCCACGCACGCACACCTGCCACGCACTTGCATGCAAGAGAAAAAGAAGAGGCCAAGCCATACAGCAAGCAGCCTCAAAAAGCACGAGGAGGAAAAGTTGTTTTCAGCTGTGCTGACAGCCTTTCCTCCCAATAATGGCCCAAGCACCGAATCGACGAGAACACAGTTAAATAAGCTCACCTTTGCCTTTTGGGGACCGAGTGCTCAACTTCTATGATTTTCCCGTGCAGTTCTACTTTACCTGCGGACACAAGGGGTGGAAGACAGTTGGCAGTGTTTAGCGGCTCTCCAGGCCCGAAGGACCCGCGCGGCGTCAGCGGCGACACAGTGGCTTTCTCCGAGCCAGAACGGCCCCCGGAGGCGACTCCAGGCCGCGGGGGAAGAAGCCAAGCCCCCGGGGCGGTGTAACTTACAGACCCGTGGGGAGCGCAGTCTACCGGCTGTCCCACCACTTCGGTCACATTCTTTCTCCCGACCCTCGAGCTCTCCCGCCCACCTCAGGGGGTCACCCAACCCCAAGACCGTCCCTGGGCGGACGAGACCCTTCCACGCACCTCTCCCGACACTCGCCCGCGGCCAACTTGGGGGAGGGGGCGCACGAGCCCTTCTCCCGCTTCCAAGCCCAGGTCCGTGGGGAACAGGGAGTGGCGGGAAAGGCGCGAGGACAGCAGGGTGGGCGCAGAAAGAGAAAACGCCGGCGGTACCTCTCAGCAAGGAAGGGACAGCGGGCGAAGGACGGTGCGTCGCCGGCCACAGTGACAGGCGCGGGCTCCCGAAGGGACCGGAGAGCAGCCTTCCCCTGGGGCGTTCCCCGTCCTCGCCGAGCGCGCCCCGCCGTCCCCGGCGGCCGCAGCCCAAGGCCGAGCGCGGAGAGCGGCGGGTCCCTCCCTAGCGACCACCGGTCGTCCCCACCCACCTGCCCCTCTGGCTCGCGGGACACGGGGGAGGTGGAACTTGGAGCCCGGGTCCCGCTTGCCCGCCTCCCGCGGGGTTGAGGGGCTGCGCGGGGCCGCCGGTGCGAGGCACCAGCCCGCGGCCTCACTCCGCACGTTTTCCCACCGCCGGGCCTGGGGTGGGAGCGGGGTCAGCGAGTCCAACGCCGTTGAGTAACCAGCCGAGCAGAGGAAGGACGGCGGGAGGAGCAGGCGCTCGCGCTCGGCGCCGAGGCCCGGCGTGCGGGGAGCCTGGGCACGCGCCTGGGCCCGGGCGGGGCGCGGGGCGAGCGCCGTGGGTCCAGCGCCGGCGGCGCCCCTCCCCCGGCCCCGCGGCCCCACTGCGCCGCAGTCCCCACTGTCCCTCCGAGCCGGTGCTTTCTTGACAGCGCGTCCACCCTGCGCCCGCAAAGCTCCGGCGGGGGGAGGAGAGCGGCGGGGTCCGGGGTCGGAGTCCAAGCTGAGAAAGCAGCCGGGACCCCACGCGTGTGGGCGCCCGGGCCTCGGCCCCTCTCCCCGCCCTGGGCCGGGCCTGGGGCCCTGCGTGGACCAGCGGCCGCAGCCGCAGGCCTGGCTCCGGGCCCCGGACCCCGGCAGGCCCGGGCGGGCGGAGGCGCAGGGCCGGGGCAGGCGCCCGGCGGGGCCAGGCCGGGGCCCACCTGAAAGCGCCTCGATGGCCTTGAGGGCCCAGCCCTCGTCCGGACAGTCCACGAACGCGTAGCCAGTCTTCACCAGGAAGGGTCCAGACACCGGGATCTTGGCGTCCTTGAAGATACTTTCCAGGTCCGAGGGCACGGCGTTCTCGCTGAGATTTCCGATATACAGTTTGTTCATTGTGAAGAGTGGTTGTTTTTAAAATTATGAGAAAAACGAAAAATTAAAACCACCCCCAGGGATGGATGGATCCGGCGGGTTTTGTTCCCCTCGTCTTCTCGCCGTTAAAATACACAAACACAGTAAGAATCAAGGACAAGAACGAGGAGAGAAAAAAATCAGATCCGAGGGTTGTTTTTCCCTTTCTGGCTATTAAAAAAAAAAAAAAGGAAAAGAAAAAACCTTCCTACAACCCAAACGCATCAACGAGTCTTCCTAACTCGGAGAAGGAGGCGGGATTAGCGAGAAAAAGGAGAAGAGGGGGAGGAGGAGGGGGAAAAACTACTTTTTGTCTCTTCCTCCCCAACCCCTTTGGCATCGGCCAGCGGACTGTGAAAATATCACACTACGTGAGGGCAGGCGCCGCCTCCCCGTAAAAAAAAACCCACAAGAGTGACTGGCAGGAGGGAGGGGAGATGGGGTGGAGGGAGGAAGGCGCAGGAGGCGGAAAAAATCCGCTCCGAGTGTCCGGCTTTTTGAATGAGCCACGTGTTCAAACTACAAATCAACGTCTCACGTGAGGAATCCCAGCGCCTCAATTAGGGGGGGTGGGGAGGAGCGGGGGAGGGGCGCGGAGACCGGGGGGCGGGGACCCCGGGAGGGGAGGCGGCGGGGCGGGCGCCGCCGGCCGCGGAGTTGGGAAGGGTTATCTGGTCGGGGCGGGTCCGGGGCGGGAGGGGACGCAGAGGGGAGGAGTACGGGTTCTTTTTTTTTCCTTCACTAGATGGGATGGGGGTACTAACTAGGCGATTCCTCAGTTCTAGGGCCGGAGTTTTCAATATTCGATTTCTTACAATAGATGGTTAACAAAACCGAAGAGTCACTGTCCCACCCGGCTGGTGGCTTGGGTGACAGGAGAAGTGTCGCCGCGGCAGAGCCGCGAGCTCGTCCCCAGCTCCGGCAGGGGCGGAAAGGCGCGCCCCACCCCTGCACCCTGCACCGGCCGGGCACCGGGGAAGTGGGGCGGCCCCGCGCCTGGGCGGTGGGGGAGGGGAGCTCGCGGCGTCCTGGGCGGGTGTCTGGGCGACACCTCCTCCGCCTGCGCTCGCGGTGGCTCCGGGCTTCGCGTTTGCCATTGGTTGCGCGCTTCAGAAAGGGCTCTGGGATAAATGAGGCCGGGGGCGGGCTGGGCCGGCGGTGGGGGGAGGGGAGCCCAGGGGCGGAGGTTTGCGGGGTGGGGATGGGGGCGTCCCGGGGCCTCGGAGGCCGGAGAAGAGAAGGCAAGAGTGGGGAAAGTCGGTATTTAAACGGAAACCATTTCTTCCTGTAGTTTCCAGAGGAGGAGGAGGAGGAGGAGGAATGGGGTAGGCTGGTACTTTCATTTAAATAATTTTAGTTTGTTGGACTTGGGACTCAAAAAACAGGAAGATCGCTCTGCGTTACCCCTAGGTGGTATTCGCACTCGAAAATTCTTCGAGTCTCTCTCTGCTTCCTTTCTGCCCGCATTTGGCCATGAGAACCATTAAGAATTTCCCTTGTGTGTAACGAGTACAATGGTGGGTGTTGGGGGAGGGTCCGGGCCCAGTGGAGCTTTCCTGGGCCCACAAAATCTGAGCTGGAGACGAGGAATACGGAAAAGAGCGCAGGGCTGGGGTTCTGGTGGAAATCTCCGAGAGTCGTTTAATGATTTGTACTCCATTCACAGGCTTCGTGTGCACCAGATACTTGTGGTATATGTTCAACATGTATTGCATGGAGAAGATACAAAGTGCTTAGACAAGTGAATGAAATTCTGTATAGCATGGAAATAAATACGAACCTCATTAATGGCTTGCTACTCTTACTAGTAGAAAAATGTTTTCTGTGAAAGAGAAAATATTGATTTACACTAAAACATCTTAAGCAATCATGACAAGTGATATAGTTTCCCTTCTCAAACCGTATATGGCATTTAAAAGTGTATATTCCAATTAAAAGATGAATGGCAGATTATTTAAGTATGTGGGAATCATTCCATGATATAGAGTACTTACAGTTTTTTCTTTTAATGTAAACTATTTTATAACTTTGTGTTAAGGAACCGGAAGGTATCAGATCATCCATTTTAAATGCAACTGTTGTAACAGGGTTTTTTTCTCTGCCAAGCAAATCCAATTTTTTTTTTAATGTAAACCTCACTTTCACTATATTTTCATTCACATTTAACTTAGTAAAACGTTTCTACTTTATGATAGAGGAGACAAACATGTTTTTGTGTAATACTCTAGAACTGTGTCATGAGCTGTAGCTTAAAAACCATTTTGGTGGTTGAAATTTTATGTTTATGACTAGGTTTAACATTTTTTCCCCAAACAGTAACTTTTTCCTTTTCATGTTTTTAATGAGAACCTTGGTTTTGAAAAAGAAAAAAATATTCTTCCTTTATGACTTCTGTGGTATTAAAGATGTAAATATCAAAAAATTGTGAATTTTTCATGAACCTGTTACATGATCAAAAGCTATTTGAAAAAAAGTACTCTTTATTTAGTATTATTTGCTTTTCTAAAGACCTCTTTCTTATAAACTAGCCTGTTGATCATTTGATTTTTAGTAATTTCTCATTAAGAACAAATTTTGTATGTTCAGCTTGTTTTTTAAATCAACTGAAGGGTGCCTTTTGGATTTGTGTTTGCTCATATTAAAACTGAAACCTAAGGAAATATCTACTTCCAAAGTATGGGAAAAAATTATTTATTTTCCATAAACATTAGCTCACGCTTGTCTGTCACTATCAAACAAATCTAACAGCTGGAACTTAAAACAGTGGTGCTGTTTTGATGGAATATGTTCCTGAGACTCTTGCGAACTTAATCTGTGTATTAGTGTAACAAACTGGATACTCCATCTAGGACCTTAAAAACATACACGAGTTATACAAGCTCAGACATCAAAAAGAGAGGTGCATACAGTCCACTTCACTTCGAATCTTCCAGGCACTGAGGAATAAGTGTATATTTAATGGCTGAGTAAAAAGAGCATGGGCAATTGTTTTTTATTGGCATTTCAAGTGCAAAAATATCTTTGATGGATTTTCAAGAATAAATATAAAGTCAATCTGACTTCCAGTCTTTTGATGAGTCTCACACAAGAAATTAACCATGTACTATGGGCTACTCAAAATTCTTCCTGAAGCAGTCGTAGCTCCTATTTAATAATTCCACGAAGGATTCCCATCCATTGTATCTGCTCTGATGGGCTGAGTCTTTCCAACTGCAGCCTGTTTACTCTTTGGACAGCTGCACCTCCTCATCTGCTGACCTGAGTACAATAAAAATGTTTCTTATTGGTCAGTGTAATATTAAAGCGGAAAAATAACGTCTAGAAGGTCGATTACCGTGGCTGTATCCACAGGTAATGAACGAAGGCTGAGCAGGTAGAGGACTCCCGCTGCTTCGGGGCCCAGCCGAGAGCCGAAGATCGTAGCCAGGGTGGGCTCGCAGTGCCGGCCACGTCGCCTGGGCCTCCTCGGAGGCATTTTTTTTTTTAACATACTCTCGCTCCTTCAACCAGCGCTCCGGGACTCGAATCTGTTGAAACCAGATGCGTGATAAGTAGTAACCTGGCTCTGCCCTCTCTTAGGAATCTGCCTTTAGTTATTTTTGTTTAAATAAAAAATGGTGCCCCGGTAGATGGAAGATGGGGTCGTTTCCTTTTCCCCTTCCCGGGGAAAGAGGGGCGGGATCCTTGCAGCTCACAGTGGAAGATCCTTCGTCGGCCGCCGGCTAGCCTCGGAGGCCCTGGACTACTGCGCCGCCCTGGCCCTGCGCTGGGACCGGCGCCTTCGGGCTTCGCCTCGGGTCCTGTCTCCTCGCGCGCAGCAGCGTGGACGGGTTAGACGTGAGGGCCCGGGGAGCCTCTGCCGCCCCTCTCGCGGCAGGACCCCACCTGAGGTCCCCCTGCGCCCGCCCGCGGGCTGCCAGGGCGAACCAGACAGCATGCGACTGCTGACCCTCCCGCACTTCCGGCCTGTTCCGAGTGTGCGAGGGCCTCCCCGGCGCTGCGGGATGCTCGGTACCCACGGAGAAAGAACGCTAGCAGCCCTCGCTGAACCCTGCGCCGCTGCCGCGGGCGGGGCAGGGCGCGAGAGGGGCGCCCTGGGCGCGCAAACGCAGCCCCGGGGCGGGGTTTCGCGCTGCGCTGGGCTGACTCGCCCAGACCAAGTTGAGCAACCCGCGTGGAGAGACACCGCCCCTGGCCGGGGAGGGGGCGGGGGTTTCTCCTCTCACCGGATTGGTGGACGGGAGGAGCCTATCACTGCAGGCTGCCTCCGCCACAGCCGTTTGCTGGTTTCCATTCATTGGCCCCCGAGCCTCCCCTAGATTTCCATCTTTTGTGGCGCGAAAATAACCCTTTGCTCCCTCTCATTGGTGAGGTTGGGCTTCTCATCGTGTTCTCATTTTTCCAGCCCTTTAACTGTGAGCCCCCAGCGCCAACCCCCAAGGAGGAAAGGGGGAGGTAACGAAGGAAGAGTCGAAAATAGTTCTGCGTGTGCGGTGGGGCCCGCCCCTTGGGCTGACCGCGTGGTGCCCGCAGAGTCCTCTCCCTTCCCCCAACATCCAGCACTCGGAGGTCGTGGGTTTGTGCCGTGCTCAGCAGCTGGAGTCACATCTTGTCCAATATCTTAGAGTGCATTCGTCCTTTTATTCAGTGGAAACAACAAAACACATTTCTAGGTGCCTGGATTTTTCCTGAGCTTCTAGAGAATTGACTCATTCTGCCCCCTCCCCTTCTAACTTTGTGGTCCACAGGGTTGTTTTAAGCAAAACCAAACAACCCCTCCAAAAAAAAGCAAACGAAAAATTCCGGGTGAAATCAGCTATGCCGAGACCAACGTTTTCGTTGAAGCTGTCCCAAGACCGAAGAAGCTGAAACCGACCTTGAAGGATTAGCGATTTCTGTAGTTAAAGCGTTCTAATTTTACGTTTGGTGGAGATGGTGAAAAAAATAAATAAGTTTGGCTTGGAGGAGTACAAAACAAACGAATAATCATATTTAAAATGGGTAACTGAAAAAGCTAACAGCTACAGTGGTGTATTCTAGGCAGTGGTGTCTTTGCTACGTCTGTAATTATGTACATAAGTTGCTACTGATCTTCTCAAAAATAAGTTAAAGATCAGAGCTCTGACCGTGACAGAAAAGAGGGAAGTATAAATTTGTTTGATATATCTAATTTTATAACGCACTGTCCAGTTCTTTCATTATTTAAGGAAAAGGAAATGTACCACTTGGAAATGTAACTTAGTTTGTTCACAGATAACTTAATTGTTCATTTTTAAGTTGACAAAATGATACGCTTTTTAAAAAGTGAAATGATAATTCCTCAGCAAATTATTAAAAACTTGCAGACAACTGGTTTAAAACAGCAAGTTCAATTTTTTTTCCTATACTGTTAACTCTTAGCTATGAAGTTACATCATTCTCTTAAGCTCTTTTGGAAAAACTATTCTTTGTTTAGTTTCTGTATTCTTTCATTTTAGTCTCTAAAAACCAGCTAATTGAAGTAACATAAATTGCCATGTACCATATACTAAAACAAAGTTATTTTAGTAGATTTTGAAAACAAAATTCAAAAGTTGACTTAATTATTAAAGAAAAATTGTCAAATACAGATTTTTTTGTTTACTTTTTATATAATTCAACCACATTTCACTAATGGGGTAAATAGGTATGTATATTTGAAGTTCTTATGTAAAGTTTTTTCTCAGAAATAGGGTAACTTAAAAGTGGTTTATTCTGAGTCGAGCAAACTAAAGCTTAGAGACAAATTTATAGTGTAAATGCTGAAGATTATGGTTAGTAATTTAGGTAACCCTTAAATACCTAAAATATCTAAAATTGAGATGGGGTTATTTATAAAAATCTGGTTTGGGATTTATATAATCTGTAATTTTCATATTTTAAAAATGAAACATTAGAAAAAATATTTAAAATGTTTTTAATATGGAGAAAATTTTATTTCTAAAAGAAGTTCCAAAATTAAACTAAACAAGCCAAAACTCTAAAACCTGAAATATATTCAAACATCTTATCAAATTCAAAGATTTATATAATCAATATTTTTCCTTAAGAAAACTTTGTTCTTGTTGGAAGAAACTGATTTTTTAAATTTTCAACTACTAAGTCAGAAATGAGAATTTTAACCTAGCTAAAATTTATAAGCAACTTATTGCAATTATATCTTTTATTTCACTTAGGTGAACCTTTAAAATATTTTTTTAATATCACTGTTTTTCTAGGAGGGGGGAGAGATGAGACCTTTAGTGAAAAGAGTCTCTGGTAATTGGTGTGTACATAAGTATTTACAGACCAGCCACAGAAAGAAAACAAAGAAGACAGGCATTTGCTTGTGGGGGAGGGGACTAGAGAGGCTAAGAGTAGGGTATTTAAACTTGTGTTTTGGCTGCAACTTATTTATCCTGCAGGTTTCCTTGCTAATGGTGGAGGGCAGGTGGGAGAGAGAAAATGTATTAATTAATGGAGCAAAATGGGATAGTAATCCAAACATGAAATCCCACTGAAAAGAGCCTACTCTCCTCACTAAAATAACCAGAAAGCAAAGCACATGCTGAGGTGGTAGCTAGTTTCCAGCATTTTCTAACATGTACACGTAAAGGACACATCTTAGGTTACTATTTTCATACTTAGATGCTTTGTTTTCCTGACCATTACTTTTCCAGATCCCATTCCAAAACACTCATACACGAAGCAGCTCCTGTGATTTTAGAAAAAAAGAAACAAAAAAAACCTGATGAGTTCCTCATGCTGTCTATAAGGAGGGAGTTAATTCTTAGATTTAATAAGGCAAACTACATTTGTAAATTCCTTATTTGAAAGAATAGTGGCAGATCATTACCATTTCCACTTGGACTCATTAAAATTCAGTCCTTCTCAAGTTCAGTTTACATTTTAGCCCTCAGCTTCTCTAGCATGATAACCCCAGCTTTAAAGATGAGAGCAGGGTGGGGAGGTGGATTTTTTAAATTATGTCAACACATCTCAGCTTAAGTTCATAAGAAACTGAGAACATAAGATATAGCAGAGAAAAACTAAACCTAATCTGAAATCTTGATAAAGATTGATACTATAAAAATTGCCCTAAAATTCATGTTGGAACACACATACCTTTTTTTGTAGTAGATTAGCTTAAAAAGATTAAAATTGGGAATATTTTTTGTTGCTTTTCCTAAGTGACTTAAATTTATCGATCAATTATTTTTAAATTGGCAATGCTAGTACCTCCTCAAGGGCAAAATTTTGTTTGAACTGAGGTTTAAGTTAATATCAGTAATTGAGCCTGTTTTATAATTCCCCTTATTTAATCTTTTAGATTTTAGAGGCATCTTGTGCCAGTCATTGAAGTATTTTTTTCTATTTTTAAGTTATTTTTCTTTGGAAACTATTTATATGTTATTAACTAAAAATGTTTTTCCTAGCACTTTCCAAAACTTGGAGAATAATTTAAAAGTAACTGAATCTTACCATGTAAAATATTAGTAAAGACTTTTTAAAATGTGCATAATTTGATACAAGTATGAAACATGACTATTGAATATTTTTCATTAAGCTAATATAACTGAATGGTCCTTCTAATTCTAATTCTAATTCATTCTAATTCAAATACAGCTATTAAAAATCAAGTTTATAAAAAGGACACAAAAATCAAGAAACTATGAATTTTGTTATATCAGAAATAGATATGATTTCTGTTTTATTAGGTTTTTTCTTTTCTATTTATTGATTTGAGAGAAAGACACATCCATTTGTTATTCCACTTATTTATGCATTCATTGGTTGATTCTTATATGTGCCCTGACTGGGGATTGAACCCACAACCTTGGCATATTGGGATGATGCTCTAACCCACTGAGCTACCCAAACAGAGCTTTGTTATATTGTTAACATTTTGCTCTGGGACATTTATATACAGAATGATGTCACCATGTTTCATTTTCGTTTGTTGAAAATTGCTTAGAAACTTGCCCCTTGATTTGATTATCACATCTCTTATGGTAATTTCTTTGCTCATATATTTCTTTAACTACCAAGATTAAAATGACATATTTGGCTTTGATTTCAATGAATGGTCTCTGTAAAAACCCAAATAAAAAATAAACTAAAACAATGTAAAATTTTTGTGTAGTACACTAAATATAGAAGCGTACCTCTGGCAACCAAATTTTATTTTAATCCAGAGCCAATATTGTGGCTTTTAAAAACAGATTCAATTGAATTTTGTTTTAAATGTTAATAAACAGCAAAAAATATTGAGTCAATGGTCCAACCCAGTGAAATAGGCAGCCGGGTTAAAGGGAGCATTACCCTTGTCCCTCCCCAACAGCAAGTCCTCCAGGTGGGGGCAATGTTTTCTGGTGTGGAATGCAGTCAGTGTGTGCAACTGGAGATGAGGATATGCATATACATATTTCTGCTGAGAAGCCCTCCGTGGAGATTTGTGAAGGAGTAAAGCAAGATAGAACTTGTGTTCAAATTCTGAGACTGCAAGTTGAAACAAGTTAGGGAAGCAGTGTTTTACTAAGTCTCTTCCTTAACCATCACAATACTTCCATATGATGTGTTCAGAGCTGGGGAGAGAGCAGTAACAATACAGACCAAACTGAAATGATGCTATTGATACATCAACCTTAGAATTTAAATAATATAAAATGTTTTTATTTTGCCTTTTTATGTACCTTGTTTTCTATTTTATAAAAACCTTTATTATATACTTGAACAACAATGAAAATAAAAATTAAAAAAAAAACTATTATTATAACTCTGTCCAGGTAGCTCAGTTGGTTAGAGCATCGCCTCATATGTGAAAGTTGTGGTTGGACACCCAGTCCGGGCACATATAATAAGCAGCCAATAAATGCATAAATAAGGAGAACAACAAACTGATGTTTCTCTCTCTTTCTCTCCCCCTCCTTCCTCTTTCTCTCTAAAATCAATAAACAAAAAAATTTTTAAACTTTTATTATACACATATTAGAGAATTTAAAAATCAATAACAAAACAAATATACATTTAATCAATT